CAGGGTGGAGATCTAAGCTGAGTTTTGTCTGGACGGGTACCCGCTGTCCGTGCATCACCTTACAGACAGGGACAGTGAGGCACAGGAAGGACGGCTGCGTACCCAGGACCCCGCGGCCAGCACCCTCTCCTCAGCTCCGCAGGTGTTGTGCTGCATCTCAGCGTCGGCTGGCTCTGACTTCTCCTCCTGTTGGTAGGGGTCCAGCACCTCTCTGCCTGCTGCCTGGTCCAGGCTGTCTGTTCCCTCATCTCTGACACGGGCTCTCTGTCGTTTCTCCTGTTCCTCCTCTGCTGACGTCACCCAGCTGTCCTCCTGGGCTCTTCCGGTGGTGCTGAGCGGCCCCGTCCCCTCCTGAGGGACGGCGCCCGGGTGTGGGGCTGTCTTGGGGGCACTGCAGGTTTGCCTCTGCACCCTGTCTGCTCCTCCACTTTCCGCCCTCGGGGCCTCTCCCACCTGCTCTTGGGGCGCCACAGGGCCTCCAGAGACTCTGGGGTGCAGGACTCTGGCCGAGGGGAAGCTGGCAACAGCAGGAGAAGGAGTTCTGTGTCAGTCCGCCCCGCGTTCTAGCCCTGCCTCTGCTGTTTACTGCTGTGTGAGCAGACCCAACTTCTCATTAAAACAGGAGAGTCTCCTCCTTGAGGCAGGCGGTGAGGGCAGGGCTGGCGCATGTCAGGCAGAATTCACAAGCTCACGTGCCTGTCAGGAGCCGGGCTGGCAGCACAGACGCCAGGGTATGGGGCAGCAGGGAGCCGTGCGGAGCCGGGCAATGGTGCGAGCTATTCTCCAGGCACAGCTGCACCTCGGCCATGTCAGACGCAGGCCGGTGTTGCCACGTCTGCCAGCTCGTAAAGATTTTTGCGTGACCCGCCTCAGATTGGAAGTGTTGGCCATGCGTTTGTACCCTTTCCAGAGCCTGCCAGTCTGCAGCCAGCCACGAGCCACCCGCACCCTGCTCCCGACAGCTTGTGCCTGTCACTTGGGTTTGACTGCTGTTTGGGGTGTCCTGCCAGTGCAGCAGCACGCTGGCTGTGCTGGGTGCTGGGTCAGTTGGCACCCACGGGACCGGGGGCACCTGCAGCTTGTCCTCCTCTGGCCCGTTCGGTGTGGCTTCTCATCCCCCCAGGCTTCGAGGCGAGTGCACCCAGGGAACATGCTGGCCCTGCCTGTGCAGATGTCCTGCCCAGGCGGCTCCCAGCTGGTCTGGTGGGGTTCGGCAGGGTGTTTGTGGGGGCCCCTTTGCCAGCCAGGCTAAGGAGGACAGTGAGGGTTTCCTGACCCTGGGGGCACGGTGCTCCAGGCTGTTGGCCAGCAGGTACCAGTGACCCCCGAGAGGGGCTCACATGTCCTGCTGGACTTGGGGGAGGGGCTGTTAGTGTTTGTGCTGCTGCTGCTGCTGCTCATCCTCTTCCTCCTCCTGCTGTAAAGGGCGGGGCCCGAGGAGAGCGGCCAGGGTGGGGGTGGGGGCCAGGCCTCCTCCCACCCCCGCCCTGGGCTGAGGACTGCCTCTTCCGGGCCTCTGACACCTGCCCTGCAGCTCCCATGCCCGCCCCCAGCCCCACCCAGAGACAGGACCCTGCAGTTACGGACGTGGGCACTGTTGCAGGAAAAAGCCGTGGGCTTGAGTTCACTTTGCTTCCACTGAGTCCTGCTCCTTGTCCTTGACTTGGTCTGTTCACCTCTCTGAGCCTTTGTTTCCTCGTCTGTGACACCACAGCTGAGGTGCAGTTAAAATGGGATGAAGGCGCATGGCACAGCGCCGTGCGTGCCCCCGGGAGTCTGCGGGCACAGGAGGAAGCCGTCCCGGCAGCCTCATCGTGGAGGCTCCTGTGTTGGAGAAGGAGCTCCCCACACCCACTCCCCGAGTCACCGCGTGTGCCCTCGCGGCCGCCCCGGCGCCTCTGCCTTACCCCTGACACAGCACGCTGAGCGCACGGGGGTCCCATGTGTTGAGAAATGGTCGTAACAACAGGAGGACGCGGCTTTCTTGGTAACAATGTATTTATATAGTTCATTGAACATTTAATGTTTGCAGTGAAGAGTATTTTTTCTTCATTTTTAAATTTGATCTTTTAAGCCTTTCTTAGGCTTCCCATAGCTTTTGATTAAAAATCAAATTGAGACTAAATGTCTGATTTTGAGGCAACTAAAATGTGTTTACAGTTTTATACTCAGTTTCTCCAGCTGGAAAGTTATTTCTGAACAATTTTTTTTATCCTCCTTCAGTCCCAGAAGGAAAGTTGTGCTCACAGATAACTTACACTTTGTTAAACGCTGACCTTTGTAAGTTTTTCTTTATTTTTATTTTTGAAATGATTAAGATATATAATCTACAGAATTGGAAATTGTAATTTTTAAAAGCACTGCGAACCTTTAACCCTGTTCCAATTACTCTGCAAGCCCTCGAAGGCCCCTGGAGTCGGCACAGTGAGATGAAAAGCCCCGGCAGACGGGGGGACATAGAGGGTCGCTTGTGCGCCGCGAGGCTTTGCCTTGTGCTCCCACCCACTCCATCCCTCTAGTCTCAGAGGGACTTCCTACCCGGGTCCGTGGGAATCGCGAAGGACACTGTTTGATTCATTCTGTGGAAATACTAGGGATTTTGAAAATGACAAGACGGGCCAGTTATGTCACTTCCTGTTGTCTGATCAAAGTTTGATGAAGAAGAAACGCAGTGACTGAGGGTTACTGCCGGGCTCGGGTGGTGCCTGGTGCCGACCCCAGTTTCCAGCGGGGCCAGTCAAGTCGCTGTGACCTCTGGTCCCCTTAGAAGTCCCCAGTGGCCGCGCCGCAGTGGATCTGCGCTGCGGCCTGGCCGATTGGAGCAGAGCTGCCTGCTTCCGGCCACAGAGGCGGCTCGTGGGGCTGGAGGGAGGCCACAGGTGGAGCTGATGCCCTGGGTCCCGTCGGCACCCATCTTTCTGGGCTGTTAGCCCCGTTTCACCCATCCCCAGGATCCCAGTGGGCATCAGAAGTGAGTGGGCAGATACGTGGAGAATCGAGCCTCCCCCTCCAGTCTCTGGGCCAGGATGGGGCGCTCACATAGTTTTGTGCACCAGTAGGAAACTGAAGCTCAGAGTCGAGAACGGACTCCTGTCCAGTGAGGAGGTGAGGAGCTATCGCCTGTGCATTCAGTCCAGCAAAGGTGGATGAAACTGTGCCCAAGCTGGGGCTTATGCCAGGTGCTGCGAATACATACTGAAAACCCGGGCCAGGGAGGGAGGGAGGGAGGGTCTGGGCGGAGAGGAGCAAGGCAAGGAGGGGTGAGCGTTCACGTGGGCGTGCCTTCGTCCCAGGGTCGAGTGGAGGGTGGGTGAGGATTGTGGGAGAGGAGATTGGCCGGGCAGGGTCCCTGTTCGGAAGGACAGGCCATATGGCACGAGGGTGAGAACAGGCACCAGAGTTAGGATCCCTTCTCTGCCACCTGTGTGCTGAGTGACCGGGTGGTCACCTAACCTCACCTGGAAGGTGGGGTCAGTCATAGTGTGGGTTATGTGGGAGGTAGCCTGGATAGTGAGAGTCACTCTTAAAATGCCCGTAAGTCACACGTGGAGGAGAGTAGCCTTGGCCATGTGGGCGCAGCTTCGCCTGCCAGGGCTGAGGGCCCAGGCCCGGTGCCGGGACCGTGCTGGGAAGGGGGCTCTCCCATCTCCAGAAGAACAGCCCACAGGCTGGCGACCAGGGCACTCCTCCTCCCACTCCCCTCAGGCGCTGTCCCATCCTGCCCCAAGACCTGCCACACAGCCCTGTGACTGGTGCCAGGTGTGTCTGTGGCAGGGGGACCCGGGGAGAGGTCACATCCTCATGGGTGGGCTGTTCTTAGGCCCTAACCCTTTAGCGCGGGGGTCAGGCACCTGGTTCCTGGTGGCCTTCGGTGCCAGTTGGCCGTGTGAGCCGGAGAAGTGACCCTGTGACCCCGAGCCTCTCTTTCCTCATCGGGCTCACTAGGCTGTGGGGACTGGTGGCCGAGCAGTGCACACAGTGCACGAGCCACAAAGAGCCCCCTCCCCCGTGCCAGGCCTGGGTCAGGAGGGAAGGTCACTCTCAGAGCAGTCTTCTGTCTCAGCACAGCGGGGCTTAGCTCTGAAAACCACTCCTGGGCGGGTGATGAGGGGAATGTTCGCATATTCCCGCAGCCCCCAAATAATGCCCACCCCCTTTTTTGGTAAAACTACTCCAAATCCCATTTAAAAGGACAGTCAGTTCGTTGGCTGACGTTAGTCTTTCTAACGTGGTTTCCCTCCTTCCCTGCTCTGTAACTGCCCACCTGCCGTGGTTCGGCTCAGGGGCGGCTGTGCATCCAGGCCCTGCGAGCAGTCTAGTGTGTGTACATAACACACGTAATGTGCACACGTGCACGCAGTGCATATACATGCACATACAGTACACGTGTGTACATATACATACACGCACAGTGCACACATGGTGCTCAGTGTTGAGGTCACTGAACCTTGGATGTGCCCCCGCCCTCCACAAAGGACAGAAAGGGCAGAGGGAGTGTGGAGACCAACCTGGCCCAGCGCGAGGTGACCAGAGCCAAATCTGGTGCTGCGTGGACACCCGGGCGGCGGGGGAGATGCCCCCTTACTCTTCCAGCGCTCCCCTCCTCTGTCTGGTCAAGGCCGTATCTCTGGCCTCCGCAAACACTGAGCTTTCTCCCACCCAGCTTTCCTAGGCTGGGCGGAAGGAGCAGTAGGACTGGGTAGCAGGGAGGCGTGGGGTTTGGGGTCAGCAGCCCAGCCACGAGCACTGTCTTCCGCGGGCCTCAGTCCCCTCGTCTCCAGGTGGGGTCACCCCCATCTCCCGGTGGTTATGAGGGTGCCGTGAAACCCCGTAGTCAAAGTGCCCCCCCCAAAAAAAACTGGTCCCGGGAGGCTGTGGTCTTTGTTCAGCTCTTTTCCTGACGGTTCGGCTGGGCTGGTCTTGCTGGACCTGGGGCGTCGGGAGCTTCCTGCACAGTCAGCTCCCCCTTTCCTCTCTGACCTGGGCCTCTCTTCTCACAGGGGCCCAGATCATTGACCTGATGATGCTGGTCATCGACGTGACCAAGGGGATGCAGACGCAGTCAGCCGAGTGCCTGGTGATCGGGCAGATCGCCTGCCAGAAGCTGGTGGTGGTGCTGAACAAAACAGACCTCCTGGCCGAGGGGAAGAGGCAGGCAGCCATTGAGAAGATGACCAGGAAGATGCAGAAGACCCTGGAGAACACCAAGTAGGTTCACTGATGAGAGCGGTCCGTGTGGATGGGAGGGCTCAGGGCGCGCCGCCCTTCGCTGACCCGGGGTGGAGGGGAGCGGACAGGGTCAGCTTCAAGCGCTGGTGAGCCGGGTCTGGCTGGCTGCAGGGGAGGGGTTCCTGGCTGCGGGGGGCACACAGGAGTGTGGCTCCGAGTGGAGGCACGGGGGCGGTGGGGGTGGTGACCTGGGAGATCTGGGACAGAAGGCCCGGCAGCCTTGCCGAGTGATAGCTCTGTGGGGACAGGTCCGGGGGGGGCAGGAAGGTGGCGGTACTGCCGAAGAGGGTGCAGGGACCACAGGATGGAAAGCCGCCTGGTGCTCAGGAGCCCATGGGCCCAGCTTGTTCTGACGTGGTGGAGAAGCAAGAAGCCGCCTTGCTGGGCAGGCGGTGTCAGCAGACCTTGTGATTTGTCGGGTCCTCGCTGCATCCCGGGCCGGGCCTTCCTTCTGCACTAGAGACGGCCCTAGGGGATGCACTCCCTCCCTGTGCCCTGCAGACCTGGCAGCACCCTGCCTCCACCGCCTCTCCTTCTCTGCCTGTGGAGGGCAAGCAAGTGGAGAGTGGTTTTGTTTCCCTGTCATAAAGATTGATAGGCCTTCCCGTTTATGGTTTTCCCCAGATCTAACACCTGCAGCTCTCCCGCAGAATTCTCAAGTTGGTTAAATTAAAGCTTCAGCCCTGAGAATGGGCCAAATATGTCATAAAAGATTTCCTAGCGCCGCCTTTTGTTAGCAAAATTCATCAATCCGATAAAATCGACACATTTAGATAAGTGTTGCATAAGAATTCAGACTCTGTTATTCCCAGCAGAAGTGGATATGAGACTAAAAAGGAAGATAAAAAATTATATCTTCCTTTTAGTGAGTTGTTTGGTCTCCCTGCCATTTTGTTTACTTGTCAGAAAGGGGAGCCCGGGTCCTTGGGACTCCCGCTGGAAACCCAGCACAGTGTCGGTGCCTTTGCTGTAAACAGGACCTTCTGGAAAGGGCTTAGGATACAGTTAAGGGTAAATTAATATTAACTACTTTGCTTAGTTAAGTTTAAGGAGCATTCTCACTTACATGTTTGAATTACTATTCCTATTTTAATTTATTAGTTGGAGGTCACATCACAGCCCTTGTGACACGTCCAGAGGAGGCTGGCCCTCTCAGGGCCTTAGAAACCTCTTCTCTCCTCATTCAGCGCTGGGGGCCGGTGGAGGGCTGGGGTGAGGACAGCACTGGCGCCCTGCTGCGCTGTCCTTCGTGGGCCCCGGGCCGGGCCAGGCGAGTCGCCTTGCAGAGGGACACAAGCTGTTACCTCCTGCAGCAGAGAACTTCTTTGACTCATTTTAAGTGACTCTTTCCTTTTCTTATGGTCCCTTGCGAGCTGAATCCTTTGTAAATGCTGGTCTGAATTTGAAGGCACTTTCTCTCTAGAGAGGAGAAATTTGGGCTGCCAAACGATGTGGTACTAAAACCTGAAAGGTGTTAAAAACAATAAACTTACTTTTTTCTATCCAAAGAGCAATGGAAAGAAACTTTGGAAACGGAAGAGGTTAAAAGGAGCAGGAGGCGCCCAAAGGCTTCTCAGAGCCGCAGCTGCCAGCCTTTCCGTTTATTTCCCTCCCGTCTTTTCAGCACACATAGCATCACGCCCACCCTGTCTTCCACGTTCAAAAATTGCAGTAAAATATACGTAACAGAATGTTTATTATTTTAACCGTTTGTAAATGTGATACGGCGGCGTTAGATACATCCGCAAAGCTGTGTGCACCACTGTCTCACCTCAAGCTTTTTCATGATTCCGAACATAAACGCTGCCCCACCGAATGACGTCTCCCCACCTCGCCGTCCCCCGGGCCCTGGTAACCTCTGCTTTGCTGTCTGTCACTGTGAACTTGCCTGACCAGGGGACCCGCACGAACGGAACCGCACAGCGTGTGGCCTCCTGGTCAGGTTCCTTTCGCTGAGTCTGGTGCTTTGGGTCCATCCGTGCCGGAGGCTCACTCCTCCTCACAGCCAGGCCATGTGCTGCTGTGTGCGTAGGCCGTGTTTTGTTTATCCATTCATCTGTTGATGGGCACTTGCATTGTTTTCTTTTGGCTGTTGTGAACATGCTGCTGAGAACATGGGTGTATTAATGTCTAATCAGGTCCCTGCCTCAATTCCTTTGGGTATGTACCTCGGAGTGGAGTTGCTGGCCCCGTGGCAACTCTGTGTTTGACTTTCTGAGGAGGCTCGCCGCTGTCTCCCACAGAGGCTGCACCCTTTGCGTCCCCATGGGCAGCGCGTTAGGGTTCCACCTTCTCCACCTCCTCGCCAGCGCTGGTTTTCCTTACGCGGCCATGCCGGGAGGGAAGTGGTATCTCGCTGTGGTCTTGCTCTGCGTCTCCCTGGGACTGATGTTGGGCATCTCTTCATGTGCTTGTGGGCCATCTCTGTGTGTCTTCTTGGGAGAAATGTCTGTTGAGGCCTCTGTCCATTTTTTAACCGGGGGGGTTTGTCACTCCTGAGCTGCAGGAGCTGTGGGCACTCTGGGACCCCCTC